GCTTGGACTACCTGTTTGCTGGACTTCACACACACACACACACACACACACACGCAAGCGCACACGCGTTGTCACATGCTGACGAATGGTCCCAGGAAAGAAAAGGACAGCATTTGCCAAGACGTGCGTCTTGGGACGAACAGCAGAATTTTGTGAGCGGGTGTATTTTGTGAGCAAAAGGTGGTCGTGGGTTGGGGATACGGAATGAACTAGAGCTCACTGATTGGCCGGGAGCAGGCCTTGCCTTTGGGCGTGCTCCAAAATGGCGTTGTAGCAAAAGTAGTACTGGTCCGGAGTTTGGATACTGAAGGCCCTCTGCGTTCTCATGCGTCGCACCGTCTGGCACACGTTCAGCGAGCCCACGTCTTGGAGTTGCGACAGACAGATGTCCAAGGCACAGAAGGTACCTGAAAAAAAAAATGCAGTTCATTTGTGAACTAGTGGTTGGTTGACACGTCTGCTTTGCAGTTCTGAGATTCTGGTTTCCAATCTTGGCTCGATGTGGAGTTTTCAGGTGGTTAACTGGAAAAATTGTGCGTTTCCTCATGAGGCCCAAAGTTGACAGACTTAACAATTAAACAGTTTTAAAGCTTCACTTTGTTCCCCTCTTACCAGCTCCCTCACTTTTTTTTTTTTTTTTTAATCCGGTGACAGAAGTGAGCGTTATCTGGTTCCGCCAAAAATTTCTGTCGTCTCACTTCAGATTTTGAGTGGCTATGTTAGTTTGTTAGTTCCAAACTTTCATGTTTTGTCTTGCAACGGCGCTTCAAGTTTGCACTTTTAAAAGGGGCTCATAAAGTAACATACCACTATTGACAAATAGCGACAATCAATACGTAAGGTTTAGAATTACCTTTAGATGCCACACGATGGCACCAAAGTACTACTTTTATTGCTTTTGCCTGAGTACAAACGCTTTAATTTGTGCAGTTTTCATGGATTTATTTTTTTACTTTTTTTTTGGGGGGGGGGGGGCTAATCCTAGAGCCATTTACTGTATCATGAGTCCTGTTCTGCCACCGTGACAGCTCCGATACAACCACAAATTGTCCATGTGAGTGCCGAGGCCTCCTGACCTGTCCTCCCGATCCCCGCGCTACAGTGAACCACCGTGGGGGGTCCTTGCGGGTGTCCCGTCCATTGAGATCCCAAAGCCTTGATCATATTGCCATGCTCTCTCTTCACGGCAGCAAGGAAGTCGATGAGAGTCACCGCCGAGGTGGGGACGCCGTAGTCGGGCCAGCTGAGGTACTGGAAATGACTCACTTGCCTCTGTTCACACGTCTGTTTGGACCATTGGGATATCTTAGCTACATATGTCACTAGTCAAGCGTGCGCATGTTGCAAAAAGGGTCTCGTGGCCTTACCTCGGTGTTGTGCAGCTCGAGGGTGGTGTGGTTGTAGTGGGTGTGGTGGTCCACCCTTTGATTTACCACTGCTATGTGGCCATAGACCTCCTGCCCACCTTCTTCCAGAGGCCAGTACTGTCCGCACTTCCTTCGACTGCCCTCCTCTGTCCTAAAACCGAGAGGAACTTGACATATTTTTTCCAGACCCAGTAGGCACCATCCCGCAACCTTTACAACTCAAAAAAGTGGTCCGACTTGGGAGTTCGACCAAAACATACCATATTATTTTTTTCAGAAAATTTACCTGGTTGTCATGACGATGACAAGCACATTTTGTTCCCAAACCATTCTCCAAAAGTCACCATAGGTCTTTTCCAGTGGACCTAAAGAGTGTGACACAAGCAATATTCATGTAACAGCCAAACATTCACAATTCGACTCCAAATTGGTGTACCACACAGGTCGATTCTTGATACACATGCATTTTCGATAAACACATTGAACAGCAGTTAAAGCTCTTGCAAGTAGTGTTAGGGGTGAGTGTTATTTTACTTCCATCATACCGGTTGCGATTCATTTCTAAGAAATTTTCTGAAGCATATTTAATGCAGTGAATATGTATTTTACCGCCGCCGTACCTTGAGTACCGATATATGCGTTCTTCTGTTTGTAGCCATCCATGAAGCTGGCGTTAATGTAGTCAGATCTCTGTTGGGACACGTTTCTCAATTAGGCACTTTGATGACCGTGTCACGCTCAAGACGACCGGTGCCAAACCTCGTTCCTTCTCGGCTTCAGGCAGACTCTTGTTTGATCAAGACAGAGAACGTCTCCATATCGGTTCCTCTCCAGATTGTAGACCGCTCTGTTGATTAAAAAAAAAAAAAATCACCATCGATCTCAAGGTTCTTCCCAAAGTTTTCTTGGGGTCAAACAAAGCGAGTGATTCATATTTTAATGCGCTCACTGTGCACAGTGGAAGGTTCCGGGCGGCGGTTCTTTCCGGAGTTCCTCGTACTCCAGGTGGATGCCGGAGCGTTGAAGCCTGCCCAAGTGCGCCAGCAGCTCCTGCGGGCGCATGGACTCGGGTCCTGGGATGTGAATGGAAGAGTCCTCCAGGGGGATGCCCACCAGCTCGTCCACGGGGTCCACGCGGCCGTTCTGGCCCGCCAGAAGCTGCTGGTTCCAGCTGAAGGCGTCCAGGGGAAGCAAGCCGCCTAGGTGTTGGGGAAGGCAGTCCCTGGGGAGGTGCTGGCGCAGCTCGGCCATCTTCACCATCTGGACCTGCAGGTACGTTTGAAGAAGCGACGGTTAAGTTTACTTACTTTCGTCTTTGTGCGTTTTGCCTTTGTCCTTTTCAATTAACATTGTGAAGTGTATCGGCAAAATGGTGGCTTTCCTTGCTTTCGTGTGAAGGCATCGTTTACTTTCTTTCGTCTTTGTGCGTTTGCCTTTGTCCTTTTCAATTAACATCGTGAAGTGTATCGGGAAAATGGTGGCTTTCCTTGCTTTCGTGTGAAGGCATTACCATACCATGACGACAAAACATCCATCATTTACTTTCAAAAATTCCACCCCCTAAAAGAGGCGTACCTCTGTATGTAGTCAAGTAAAAAGAAAAAAAAAAGCTCCGGCCTCGGAGAGGGCGGACAAAATCAGTAAGCTTTCCTGTCACTTACCCGCTCCCGAAGTTTCTCCTTCAACAGCAGACTGAGCAAGTTGTAGGGCACCCGAAACCACACGGGGGCCCCAACAATCAACACCTTCTTCAGCCTGGCGGGAAACGCCCCCTAATATTCAGAAAGACAGCAAAAAAGGTGAACACGGGAAAGTACGGGCGCTTGGACCCGCAGAAGAAATGCGGCCTGAGACGCTCGGTCCGGTATGTTGATGAAGGGAACAATAAAAGCTGAACCTTCAGTAAGTTGAGAATCTTCTTGCTCAGGTCCAGCTCGAAGTTTGTGTAGTTGGACCCGGCCATGTCGTATATGAACACCAAGCCATTCCTCTGGGTCTCAAAGCTGTTGGCGGCAAATAAGTACAGAACACGATGACTAATACACCAAACAAAATGGGATCTTTTTGGCTGGAACAAGAAAAATATTCCGCTTGCCTAAACAATACCATTTATTGAGACAGTTGTAAACAACAACTTGTTGCGCTGACAATCTTGTGTATGTTTCTGTGTGTGTGTGCATTTGGTCCAGCTCGAAGTTTGTGTAGTTGGACCCGGCCATGTCGTATATGAACACCAAGCCATTCCTCTGGGTCTCAAAGCTGTTGGCGGCAAATAAGTACAGAACACGATGACTAATACACCAAACAAAATGGGATCTTTTTGGCTGGAACAAGAAAAATATTCTGCTTGCCTAAACAATACCATTCATTGAGACAGTTGTAAACAACAACTTGTTGTTGCGCTAACAATCTTGTGTATGTTTCTGTGTGTGTGTGCATTTGTCATCGATCGTTTTGTTTTGTGTACAGTGGGGTTTTTTTCCCCGACTGTAAAAATGTTGCCCTTGTCCTTTGTTGCGACAGGTTAATGTCTGTAATAATCAAAGCCCCACCCCCCATATCATTACATTTACCATTTAATCAGCATCTCTGGTGAGCGTAGTATCTTTCAATTGTTTTTCACGCTAGCCGTCTAATTTCGATTCGGAATCGCTCCACAAGACGGACGTGGCACTCTGGTAGACGGGTATATTGTGTACAACATGAACGCTTTCTCCAATTGTGATGCGAGAGCGGTGGTATTACGAGTCGGATGAAGGAGGTGAAGTCTCCACTGAAGTCCCAGGTAGCAAATGCAGGGGGCCTGCTATTGCTTTTCACGGAGTGAGTGGGGATGCTCACCTCTCCACGGCGCGATCCAGGAGGTAGAAGAGTGCCTGCAGAACGACGTGGTTGCCCGTCTTGTTTGGGTGATGAAGTTTGGCAGTGTACAAGGCGATGGAGGCTCCCGACGGATCGCGTGCACTCTGCAATGCAACCCCCCCCCCCACCACCAAAAAATAAATAAAAGCATATTTTTGTATCGCAATTTCAAGTTATTTACACTCCATTGCCAAAAGAGGATCCATTTCCTTGTATTTGTGTTTGTCATGAATGAGCCACTATTCCTTATTGAGGGGGTAACGCAAATGCGACAATGTAGGAATTGGCCACAAGGGGGCACTCAAATTTACCAACTGGATTTTTTTTTTGGGGGGTGGAGGGTCTGTGGCAGGAGGAGCAACTCCGCATTCGGTAAATGACGTCGTGGAGGAAGACGATTGAACAGCAGCCAATACAGGAATATGACTAAAAATACCGCAGACGGGATATGAACGCCGTGTGTAGCATTCACGTCAATCAGCCGCGTCAGCGGGGAAGGACAGAGGGAAACGGGAGTCTTTTTACGAGCGGGATTTCTATGACAAAAGGCTAAATATATCCTAATGTGGTACTCGCAGTTCACTTGGAAACTTCTCATTCCGAATGAGAACATGTTCCAGTCGTACCTCAAAATTGCCAGGTGAAAGCGTTCATCAAACGTCAATACCGTATTTCCACCAATAGCGCCAAGGGGCATTATTGCTTGGTTCAGTTGCAGACGCGGTGGGGGTGGAAATGTATTTTGACACAAATACATTTTGGGAACACATGAACAGTGCCGCGAGCAATGAAAAACCAAGAGTAATTCCACCCCCAAAAATGTTTAGAATCACCCGTATGAATGGTTTAAAATCATGAGATGACAAACCATAATCCCCAAACACTTTTGATTGAACTGCTTTTATCAAGATAACATTGATTCCTTTGCCCCGGTTACTTGGGCAAAATGACATGTAAATTACAATGCGAATCTGCTTATTTCGGGCCTTGGCTAAAGTGACAAATAAAAGCAGAGCAGCAACCAGGCACTGAGTTTGTGTCGCAAGGTCATGGATATTGTACTGGGAATTTGCTGAATTCTCCACCTTTCAGCACGCGTTGCTGTTTTTTTTTTCGGTTCATGACCAAGTTGGCATGGGTGATCAATGTCGACGTGTGAACAATAAGCGCATGAACTTACCAGCACTGTGAACTTTCCGCTGAGCAGCTCGGACCGCAGAGGTTCTTCCTGAGGCTGAAGTCTGACGATTCCTTCTTTGAGACGCGTTTCCTGGAGCGAGAGAAAGAGAGAGAGAGACAGCCAGGCAGTTTGAGCAAGCGCAAGAACAGAAGATGCCCCGACCCCCCAAAACAAAAAAATATGGGAACCTTGCCTACCCTGTAACTGTGGAACAGCTGGATAGCTCGGAGCACGTCAAACTTGCGCGCCATGAGGAACTTGACAGCCAGTTCCCTGGAGAGCGGCGAGACTCCATGCTGACTGGTCCACTTGGTGATTTCCTCCAGGAACTGTCTGATGGCCTGAAAGAGAGGCCGCAAGACGTCACACTCACAACAGCCGCACAAATACCGGAAAAGTAAAAGCCAGCAAGGCGGCCCAGTGGTTAGCACGGCGACCTCACAGTGCAGAGGTCGTGGGTTTGATCCCGGCTCCGGCCTAACTGTGTGGATTTTGCATGTTCTCCTTGTGCCTGCGTGGGTTTTCTCCGGGTACTCCGGTTTCCTCCCACATTCCAAAAACTTGCATGGCACGTTAATGGAACACTCAAAATTGTACTGAGTTGTGATTGTGAGCACAGATGGTTGTTCGTCTCTGTGTGCCCTGCGATTGGCTGACAACCGGTTCAGGGTGTCCCCCACCTACTGCCCGAAGACGGGTGGAAGAGGCTCCAGCCCTTGTGAGGATAAAGCGAATCAGAAAATGGATGGATAGATCAAAGCCAGCAATGACAACCCCCCCTCCACCCCATATGTGCTTTGTAATTGCAAACAGATGCCACAAGAGAGTGACAAAATACTTCAAATGAAGCGCACGCCATTCGTCTAGCATGTAACACAATCATCAACTCGTGTTACATCGATGACCGTATTCCGTAAGTGAATTTATGACAATGACAACAAACCAACCGCCTTCACGTGAAGTTCATCTTCGCGACTGTACTAACAGCCTAAACTGTTCCATCACGTAGGCAGGCACACGTGCGCGCTAGAATTCGACGCAAACCCGATTGTTTCATTTCACACCCCTTTCGGAATGAGCTACCCCCACCCCCAGCAACCCCAGTCTGGCAGCAACCACAGCAATTCGAATGAGCAGGGGGAGAAAAAAAAAAAAAGGGCCACTGATGGTTTAGAAGTAAAGAAATCTCTCCTAGCACAAAAACAGTTGTTGGGTGGGGGCGGGGGGCATATGCAATGTTTTTGAGCTATTCGCAGTTGGGAAAATAGCAAGGGATTTCTGCGCACCACAAATATCGTTTCACAGAATTCCAAAAAAGGCCTCACCCCATCTGCAGTTGAGTAAATAAACAAGACCGCCGTCAATACAAAAGTAACTCAAATTGACTTTGAAAAGGCTTCCCCGAAACTACAAGTCAAGTATTTAGCTCGCGGAGGGGATGGGGGGGGGGGGCTTCCTGTGCTTCTCCACTTCTCATCGTCGCCATCTCCGCACCCCTCCCCCCACAACAACGCCGCCTTCTGCTTTTTCTGCTCAGGCGGGAACCCACAAGCGTGCAGTCAAGTCGGGGGTGAGCGAGGGCAGGAAGTCCACTTATGGGATTCTCTTTGGGAGTACAAAACGCTCAGTGAGGGGGCGGCGAGGCCTGAAGACAGGATGCCGCTGTGTCTGCTCCTCGCTCTCTCTCTCTCTCTCCCTCTTCAGAAGAGACGACGAGACATAAAGCTGCCGCTCTGTTCTCAGCCCTTAACATGCACCCCATGAGGCACCGGCGCACCTGACACTTGGATCCGCCGGACACTCCATTGGGGGTGCACCTAAACTCCAGACCTCCAAACGAAATGAAGCACACAGGAAAATGCTTTAACAAAGGCCGAGTTTGACGTGCTCGATGCTAAAAAGCGGTCCAAGCGTTGAGCAGGAAACTGACGTCACCTTTTTACGTCCACTCGGGAGTACGACAACATCACGGGTCGGCTTAAAGTCCAGTACGGCCTCATAGATCTTTGCGCCAAAGACAACTTCCGGTCAGGTAGGTACGCTTCAACTTCAGGGATTCTGAAGTTAGCGTCCCTCTTCGTCCGCAGGCTGCGACCCAGACTTCCTGGACGCGCTTCTTTGGTTCCACTGGTAGGGGGGGTGGCCACCGGGATCACATTCACAGGTCCGTTCTTATGTGGCGTTGGCGTGCTAGCAGCACAACGGTCACTTATTGATTTCCTTGAGGATGCATAAATGTTTACCTGATTGCGGCAGATGTTTCCCCTCAGCGTTCCGCCGTTCCGGACGATCAAGGTTTCGGTTTGCAACTTTCCACACTGCACTTTTGTTGAGCGATCCTTCAGAGGAACCTTACTTTGAAAGCTGTTTACGGTGCGCGTGCGTCGCTCAACGCGCGGGTACGAGTGATTAGCAACGAGTCATTGTCATGCTAACCCTTGAAAATGTTTGCACATGATAAAAAAAGGTGGACACTGAAAATATGGACTGTTCAATATTTATTGACTGCAGTCAGGGGTCCACTTGTGTGTTTGGTTCGCGGTGAGCGGGTCGCCGTGTTGAAGGGGCGTAGCGCGAATCGTCATTACGAGACGAAGCAACACAGACGTTTGACTGAGGCTGGAAATGCGCCGAAGATTTGCTCGCGAAGCTGTAAAAACAACAAGGCGATTTGATCAAGCTACACGCAGCCCGAGAAGCAGCAACCGATGTCAAATTTTTGGCCCGGACCTCCGCGATATGTTCTGCTTCTCATTTGGCCCCCGGGGGAGGAAAAAAATAAATAAATTGCCCACCCCTGCCTCAGCATGTCCACTTGAGTAATGACGTCTGCTTTCTTGAGAGCCGCAACTTCCTCTGTCTCATCTTTGCAGGCTCCTTAGCATGTCTACTTGATGAATGACGTCTGATCTCTTGAGCGCCGCAACTTCCCTCTGTGCATTCAACGCACGCCAGGGTGCAACTGTGCTCGACAAAAAAAAATTCGCTCTCCGGCTTTTGTGACCTTGGCTGTTCTCGTCGCCAACCTTTCTCTTCAATGGCAGGATTTGAAAAAGACACGATGAGGACCGGATATCTTTTCCTTACACTCGGCGACACTTCAGAATGACGTTTTGCCGAAAGCCGTCATGAGCCCGAGCTATGCTAGCGCTAAAGAAAACGACTATATACACACACACACACAAAACAAAATCCAAATGAGGGCCGCACCACCATTTCCGCGTGTTACTTTCGACCATCAATAAAACAAATTTCATTTAAAGCCCAAAGATTCCTTTGGATAGCATGACAGCATGCGCAGAACACGAAGCAATGCCTCGTTCCAAAGAGGTAACCGGATTCCGCTTACGTGACCCAATAGTCTGGTTAGAAAAGAAAAGGGGTAACCCAGGGCTCTTATTCGGAGCCTTTTGGGGTTTTTGTGCACGCTCACATGGCCTTTAAAAACCCGAATACAGCCAATATTCTGGTCTTAAACGGGTTCTTGGCTGCATGTAAATGTAGTCATCGGTGCCATGTTTGTAAACATGTCCAGGTGTGGGATGAACACATCTGTGGGTTGTATTAGATGCATTCTCTCCTTTTTTTGTATTAAGTTTGTGTTGAAAAATTGTGTTCAAATACATTCGTGGACAAGTTAATAAAAAAAAAAAAAAACTTTTTATATGCACTTTATATATTTCAGGTTTTCAGCACTTGTGGGGGGTGCCTGGAACGTGTCCCGAACAAAGAATTGGGGTTCACTGCATTGAAAACAAGCATTCACACTTCTACTCACAGCTATGGAGCAGAGATTCAAACCTGCAACCTCAGAACTGTGAGGTAGACCACGAATTTCACCCTTTGCATGAATTTTGAAGAAATCATGAAAACTGTCCACAAAAAAAGACCAAAGCAGGGTCCCGAGGACGCTTCCATAAATGCACAGCACCCTAAAAAGCATTTGTGAAGGTTGCGTTCGGTAACACGGTGGCCACAGAGTCAAATAGCGGCTGAGGCTCGCTTCCATTTGGGACGATGGCGGTCGATATCCCAAAACAGGAACTCGATAACAACACTCGAGGCGCTCTCTTCCCACTTTCTCTGCTTCCTGGGAGCACAAGCGACGCGCACATTGACATGCACATTAGCACATGACAGACACGCACGTGCACTCTGCAACTAACCCCGCCCCCTCAAACAGAGTCTCGTGGAAATGCTTTTAACAGCTGCCTGAACGAAGTTCCACGATCCTGTGTGTGTGTGCGTGTGCGTGTGTGTGTGTTCCTGGAGACACACAAGTACACCATAGTAAAAAAAAAAAAAAAAAGGCCCTGGCTCACACAGGAAATGAAGTAGCCAGATTAGGCTTTCTTTCTACTGGCCAAAACGATGACGATGAGGCGAGGAATCGCCAGGCGGTAAGCAACCCACGAAGAAAAACATGCCAACGCAAACTGAGAGCACGTGGCCACCGGGTGAGCGGTCCAGGCTAAAGCCTGGGACGCAACGGCAATGCGGTGCAGTGTTTTCCCAAGGAAAGAATCGCGGCATACTGCGAAGTACCGATCAGATGTTGAAGTTGAATTTGAAGAAGTGTTTTGTTTTGAAACAGCGAGGTACAACTTTTAGTGACAACCATTCTCGAGTTGGAGCCTGTTCCCGGCTGACTTTGGGCGAGGCGGCGCACACCTTGGGCTGGTCGGCAGCCATTTGTAGGGCACATGTTCATGCTCATCACACCTACAGGCAATTGAGACAATTAACCGAAGAAGCATGTCTTTGGAATGTGGCGGAAAGAGGAAGCCAGAGTGCTGCTGGGCAACTCTTTGTTTTCCCATATTTAAGGCACAGCGTGCAGACGATACATCTCGATTTGTATGGCGCTTTCACAAGAGAACGCACTGACCCCAATATAATGGGAACACCTTGTTGCTGGAAGCAAATCAAATTCTCCTTTCGCCAGGAGGATCGGAGACGTCACGATCGCATCGCGCGTGATGTCATACGCGTCTGCGGCGAGGGTAAAAGTCGGGATGGGCCCGATACCGGCCTAAAAAAATAAAAATAAAATAAACAGGAAAAAAATATCAGCCATCGAGTAAGCCTTCCTTGCCAGTAGTTGGCGCCGCACTGTGGCCATTTGAAACGTCAGCCCAGCACCGCGCGCGCGACAGAAAGACAAAGGCCTTTGTTCACAATTATCTGTCACGGTATTCATTGAAATGTTATGCATCATAAATACTTGTGGCGGCGCCGTGGACGACTGATTGGCACGACCGCCTCCCAGTGCAGAGGTACAGGGTTCGAATCCGGCTCCGGCCTTCCTGTGTGGAGTTGGCATGTTCTCCCCATGCCTGCGTGGGTTTTCTCCGGGTACTCTGGCCCTGGCTCACACAGGAAATGAAGTAGCCAGATTAGGCTTTCTTTCTACTGGCCAAAACGATGACGATGAGGCGAGGAATCGCCAGGCGGTAAGCAACCCACGAAGAAAAGCATGCCAACGCAAACTGAGAGCACGTGGCCACCGGGTGAGCGGTCCAGGCTAAAGCCTGGGACGCAACGGCAATGCGGTGCAGTGTTTTCCCAAGGAAAGAATCGCGGCATACTGCGAAGTACCGATCAGATGTTGAAGTTGAATTTGAAGAAGTGTTTTGTTTTGAAACAGCGAGGTACAACTTTTAGTGACAACCATTCTCGAGTTGGAGCCTGTTCCCGGCTGACTTTGGGCGAGGCGGCGCACACCTTGGGCTGGTCGGCAGCCATTTGTAGGGCACATGTTCATGCTCATCACACCTACAGGCAATTGAGACAATTAACCGAAGAAGCATGTCTTTGGAATGTGGCGGAAAGAGGAAGCCAGAGTGCTGCTGGGCAACTCTTTGTTTTCCCATATTTAAGGCACAGCGTGCAGACGATACATCTCGATTTGTATGGCGCTTTCACAAGAGAACGCACTGACCCCAATATAATGGGAACACCTTGTTGCTGGAAGCAAATCAAATTCTCCTTTCGCCAGGAGGATCGGAGACGTCACGATCGCATCGCGCGTGATGTCATACGCGTCTGCGGCGAGGGTAAAAGTCGGGATGGGCCCGATACCGGCCTAAAAAAATAAAAATAAAATAAACAGGAAAAAAATATCAGCCATCGAGTAAGCCTTCCTTGCCAGTAGTTGGCGCCGCACTGTGGCCATTTGAAACGTCAGCCCAGCACCGCGCGCGCGACAGAAAGACAAAGGCCTTTGTTCACAATTATCTGTCACGGTATTCATTGAAATGTTATGCATCATAAATACTTGTGGCGGCGCCGTGGACGACTGATTGGCACGACCGCCTCCCAGTGCAGAGGTACAGGGTTCGAATCCGGCTCCGGCCTTCCTGTGTGGAGTTGGCATGTTCTCCCCATGCCTGCGTGGGTTTTCTCCGGGTACTCTGATCCCCCCCTCACACCCCCACAAAAACCAAAGCAAAACATGCATGGCAGGCTAATGGAAAACTCTAAATTTTCCCAAGGTGTGATTGTGACTCTGTGTTCCCGACGATTGGCTGGCAGTTCATGGGTATACCCTGCCTACTACCCCGAAGACAGCTGTGATAGCCTCTAGCACGCCCGTGACCCTCGTGAGGACAAGTGGATTAGAAAACGCATGGACGGATAAATACTAGTGGTATCGATACTTTGTATCGGTATCAGTGAGTACTCATTAATGAATTCTCATCGTGGTATCGAATATCCCTGGTTAAAACTGTTAATAATGTTAGAATAGCTTGCCGGAATCCGATTCCGACGGTATGGCAACCCTGAGCAATTCCATATTATTTATTTCAGCAATTGGAGGCACGCTAACACTCATCGCTGGGTCCAAAGGTGCATTTTAAGACCGTTTCACAGTGACATATTAACGTTCCTTGGAATTGGTCTGAGAGTGATGCGTCGTGCTCTTGTCATTGTGACATTGTATTGGAAAGATTGCCTTCCGTCGCAGCCAGTTGTTTTGCATATCCGCTCTACCCAACCGCAACCAACACCCCCAAAAACGTATTGTGTTTTCGTCTCGGGGGAGAAAAGTGGTCGGGCATACTGACTGCTCGCACCAATACTGTATTGGGAGGGGCTGATGTCACTTAATAAAAAATAAAGAAAACAAAAAGGGGAGGCTCGTACCACGGATGGAAAATTTTAATTCTGACTTTGTTTTGGTTGTATAAGCCAGTGGTTAAACATGCAGTTGCATCCTCCTGCCAACTCTAATTGCTGCATTTGACAGGGCGTTTGCTTCATCGTTTCATACGTGTTATTCATCTCAGGTCATTGTTCAAGACACAGCAATGTACGTATCACTTGGTAACCACATAATTATTTTGTATGCGGAACTCAAGACTGCAAGAGACGCTGAAACTATTAGGAACAGCTCTCAGTGTGAGGCACTGCAGTTCCACAAATAAATGAATAAAAAGCGTCTTCAATGGACAACTCCAAAACGTGCATTATTGTCCTTTCGAGCTCACCTGCGACCCGAGCCAAAGTGTGAACTAAGCAAGCTTATGAATAGGAACCGATTGGCTAGTTCAGTGTTTTGCAGCCTTTAGTGAGCTAAAAACACACGTCGTACATTGGAAATATAGTCTCAATGTCACGCCACCAAAAGCATATGCAATCCAGTATTTGGCCAAGATAATATCATATATATATATATATATATATATATATAATGCTGACTTTTTTTGTCATGTCATAATAAATCACAAGTAAGCAGGGATTTTTGCTGATTCAGCAGGTTCGGTTCCGGAAAAAGAAATTCACATAAGGGTGAATTTGCAACTGACCAACAGCGAATCTGCGGCTGGCACCTAAATTAATTTAAGAAAAACAATTTTCAGACCAAGTGAAATTGGGTAATTTCCCACCGCTCACCTGTTGATATTTCACAACAAACTAATGTGCTCAGTTCTTGGGAATTACTGGTTTAGGTGTACCTAATGTTTTTGCCAATAAGTGCTTATTATTTTTTTGAAATAAAAACACACGTTAGCTTCACTGAAGGTTTTAAATCAGGTATATCCAAACTGCGGTCCACCGTCTATTTTTTTGTAGACCGGAGCATATCCTAAAAAAATAAAATAAAATAACAGAGCAACAGTTTTGTTTTTTTTTTTTTAATAGTTTGGTTCTGAATGTGGAGATGAGAGTTGGTTGCTGCTCAGTGCAGGGGCAGATCAACTCTCGTGAAGACAGGACCACCCTAAACCCATTAAAAAATCGATTTGTTTTTTATCACTTTAAACAAAAAGGTGTGATGTAACAATTTTACCCAAAGCTCAATGATATAAAAACAAAATATAATTGTCCTTCGCTGGCTGTGAATGTGAGTAGTACCCTACTGCTGTCTGGCGACCAATCAATGTGTAAAACCACCTCTCTCATTATACAAAATAGATGCACGGATTTTTAATATCGGTCTTATGACATAATTAGCAATGCAAAAAAAATGTTTTCTGTTAGTAAAAACAAAGCTCGTGCTGTTCAGTGAACGCAATGCGATAATGATGCGTTTAAAGACCACGCCAAAGACGTGGGAAAAACAGATGTATTAAAAGGCGATTCTTGTCATAAAATGCGCATATTTTCCACAGCTGCTGTGCCCTCCACCCACTAGAGATGGGGGGGCTTGGGGTGGCTATTTCACATCCGCGGACAGACAAGGAGGGGTTATTGCTCTGCACAGCGACTCAAACACAGACTGGAACTGTCGGTGATGCAATAATGCGCCACAAATCGATAACAGCAGTTCCGCTCTGCTTTCGGGCAACATTTCAGCCCGCATTCGAGCAACTGACACGGTCCCATTGCCTCGAATTGAACACATAGACACACAGAAAGGGCCTACCTGTTCTTCCTCGGCCGACAAAGTAGCTGCCATGGTACCGATTCGGTCACCGCCGCACAGGAGGAGGAGGTGGAGGAAGAGGAGGAAGAAGAAGAAGAAGAAGAAGCAGGCTTCTGGGGGGGTCGTTGGCTGTTCGGTCCTGCTGAAGAGTTTTCTCTCAGGCTAATTAACTCGAATGTTCCATTAAAAAAATAGCAAAAGACGAGACGAGCAACCGCTTCTTGTATTAGTTTTTAGCGAACTCACACATAAAACAAGGCCCGCTTATGGAGGTTCGGCCGCTTTCGGAACCGTCCCCTCCGCTAAGCCCAGCCCAGCCCAGCCCAGCCTTAGCCTAGCTTTAGCCTAGCCTAGCCGCGCGGATCACCGTCGACTTCTTGCTGCCATGAAGAATTTTTGTTTTGCCGGAGAGCATTGAACGTCTCCTTTATGCTGCCTCCAATGAGGCCAGCCAGTCAGTCGCTTCCTGCGCACGGCTCTGCATCCTAGTGGTCGGCAGCGGAACTACAACCACAGGGTCACATGCATTCATTCATAATCAAGCAAAGCAAAAACAGACACATTGAGCATGAAAATATCGCAACATGCATTTGTTGTATAAATTATAGGTGTCCTGGGAGAAACTGTAACTGTATCTATAGTAAGAAGGACAACAAATTATTATTTCAAATACCAAATAGCTCTTGAGCACCCCCCAATGTTCTTCACTATTGAGGACCAATTTACAAGTCAAATATAGCAGATCAAATGAGCCTGAATTATTTTTATTTTCTTTTTCGCGTGGGGGGGGGTCTTTTTTCGATGGATTTCCTATAATTGTTGAAACATTTTGTTTAATCACAGTCACGTTCTACCAAATTGTAATCCGACTAAAGTCTTTTTAGTCATTTGGAGGAAGAGAAAAAGAGTGAGCTATATGACTCAGCAGAAACGACATCATCAAGCTAACTGCGTAGACCTAAGTTTAGACTTCTCTATTTTTCACTTTGTCCCCAATGTTTTCAGCCATACTAAAGTGTATTTATTTTGATTTAGATTAAAAAATAATATTATTTCATGTGTCTGTCATTTCTGTGCGTGACCGAGAGACCCCAGGAAGGAATAGCCTGGGAGATCTCACTTTAATAAAAAAAAAAAAACAAACATTTACAGTTTTTGGGGGTGGTGGTGGAGGGGGGTGCTATTTAGCTTTTTGACCGGCCAACAAGAAACGTGTTTTGTTTAAAAGCTAACATGTGAGACTTGGTTTGTTGGCATTCTAACATGTATGATGGTATGCTGAAGTGTGACGTTAACATGTTGATAACGGATTCAGCATTATTTTAATTTTTAAAAAATCATTACGTGACAACTGAATACCTGTACATGATAACTGCGATATTACATTATTTTGACACTATAATATTTGTATAATCACAAATGGCTGGTGCACCCCCCGAGATACGTATCGATTTATCTTTTATGAGCGATGCACACCAGGTAATAATCGATTTGTTGTTCTTTTATCATGCTTCCAATTGAATTAACGTGAATGGTTTGGACTCTGGAGAGCTTTTAGATGTTTTTACGTTCCAAAAATGGCTGCGTCATCATGTTGAAACGGTAAGGAATCTTTCCACTTGAAAATGTATCGTGCTTGAATCGTATTTTTGCCCCGTGTACTGCGATAACGTATCGAATCGTCTCTTCTTGGAGAGATGCTCACCATAGACACACGCACACGCGCGTGTAAAAGATTAATCAGCTTAAAGCAGCACAATACATTGATTTTCAGATCCTGCGCCAGCCGTTCTGCTTAGCTCATTGTATCAGTCACACAAGTTTCCCACATTTGATATTTTTTATTATTACATCATATGTTGGTGTCCATCCTGTTCTGAGCAGGCTTTCATTTTCTGCGTGTGTGCGCGCATGAGAAAGCGTGGGAGAGCTCTCAGTAAAGTACAAATGAGTGCAGCATTTCCTGGAAAGCGACAAGTGCCGCTGACTAATATCTGCATTCCTGCACTGAAGCGCATGCTGGGTCAGGCTTCTCAGAAAAAAGTGTTGAACAATACGATGTGGTCGATTTGTGTTGTAAGCTCATATTTTCAAGTCCTGACAGTTTCCCGTTTCGCTCGACATTAAACCGCAAATGACTGTATCGGTTCTATTGGACGTGAGAGCGCCAGCACAACGGGAACCGTTAAAAACAAACATTTATTTGGAAATACACTTTGTACAAAAAAAAAAAAAAAAAAATTCAGTGGAAAATAAAACATTGTAAAAACTAGAACGGGTTCTCAACACGTTATTGTTGATACAGATGAAATAAGAGTCTGCATTGGAAATTACAAAGAGTGTTTTGGGTTTTTTTGACTTGTGTTGTTTGATCAAAGTAACCCGGCAAACAGGGTTTCAAAATTCCAGGATTTTTCAAGTCGTAAGTGTTCTGCAGAAATGAATGGAAATTAAGCGAAATGAATTACTCAGTAACCAGGAATTTATCGAATTGAAGGTTGGCTCTAAGTTTTCATTTGCTCTTGCGTTTATTTTTTGGGTGTTTCGCCATTTGTCAGTTAAAATTTTTCTTTTTTTGCAGTTGCGTTAAATATTTGTTGCTTAGTTTGGCTATTTGTTTTTTTTTGCACTTCAGGGCCACCGAAGAGAGGGGCTACTTTCATCAAACATTTTCTGTGGGACATTTCGGGATGGTGGTGTATTTTTATTCTCTTTGAAATGGGTTGGCTCGGGGCGATGAGTAATGTTTAGCTCACCATCCACATCTTTGTCATTGAATGAAAGAACTGACTGCTCGATAAAACACGTAAAACTCCTACTCGCTGATACATCTGTTGTAATGTCATTCTTTGAAATTGGATTATTTTGCACGGCAGTCTTATGACTGTACAAATTGTTTACATTCAAGGATATTCCCAGAAATTCCCCATCACGTTCAACCCGAACGATCAAGGAAGATGAATCGAACACTTCTGCGCACCCAGAGGTCATCCTGGCTGGCGCCTGATTAAAATTAGCCTGGATTTGTAGGAGAGGTTTTCTGGAAGAGGTTCTAAATAAAAGGAGTGGAGCGCAGGTGAGTCAGCGATTATCTAGCAATCACATCAAGTCCTCCATTTGCGCTTCCTGGATGTGTCTCTGGTTGTGGCCGTTGTCTTGGGCGGGCGTGGACAGGTGCTCCAGCTCGTAGCCGCCATCCCGGCTGGCCGGCCGCACCTCGCCGGAGGTCTTTTTGTGCTCCCGGATCTGCTGCAGCTGGTGGCGGGCGTATTCGGGCTTGGCGGTCAGGGGTCCGTGGGGCACCTCCACGCCCAGGATGTCGGACACCATGTAGGGTCGCAGCCAGCCCACCAGCGGGGTGCTGCCGGGCGTGTAGTGAGTCTGCCGGTGGTAGAACAGAAGACCGTCCACCTGCCGGCAAAGTCGACAATCGGTCCAAATGACATCACTCGTGCTTCAAGGTGGCAAAAGTTCACAACTAAGCTCGCCGTCATATTGAGCTGAAATTAAAATAGTCACATTTTGTCCTTGAGAAGAGTAAAAACAAAAGTAATCATTCAAATCATTACTCAAGGAAAGGTAAAAAAAAAAAAAAAAAAAAAAAAAAAAAAAAAAATTAGAGGCACTGAAATGTACCTAGATAGTAAAAGTGAAAAGTATATTTATCGGCTGTATTAATGTATTCATTTAGATTTTTTTTTTTTTTTTAGGGAAATTGATGAAAAAAGCCCTTTTAGGGTATATCTTGTGGTGTTGTGTTTTGTCATCATTTTCAAATCAGGTCAGCGGTAGTCACTTGCGTTCTGCCACCGCGAAATAGCCTCACGTCTGGGGTTTACAAACATGACGAAAAGGTCGCGTCAGGAAGAACTAAAAAGAGTTTCTCACGCTGAAGCTGTAGTCGGCCGCCAGGGCTTTCTGGATGGACTCCGCCGTGCACTCGCTGCTCTGGAGGCTCACGAAACGGAACTGGCAAAGCAAACAAAACCACAAGTGTGTTTCTACCATACACCGATTTGGCTTCCTGTCCAACAGAGCTTGTTGCGATTCCGTATAAACGCCACCGACTATGGAAGGGGGCAGGTTACAAAGAAAGATACGACTATTTTATACGTCGCTCTCCATAATTATTGGCAGCCCTGGTTAAGATGTGTTTTTCAGCTTAAAAATAAAAAATAAAGGGCTTTGCGCAGCTCCTCAATTAGTATCAAGGATTTGGCAATGATTTCAGTATGATAAATCACCACTAGATGGCAGGAGTGGCTTTGATCAGATGTTGGCGTGAGTGTGTGTATGTTATCCAGTACGAACCCACTTGGCGGGAGGAAGCAGTGCGGTGGTGAGATCATGGATAAAGTTCAACATTCATGAAAAGTTCATGCACCAGTGCAGTGTTTTTCTTGAAATAAACTGTTATTTGGCAAATTTCTGTAGGCCTTCAAAAATGAGTCAATTGCTCCAAAAAAATGAAATTTGAGAAAACCGACCGGTACTAAATGAGTTAAGAAATAATTATTTTATGTCAAACCATGTGTGTCAAAATTAACAGCAGCCCCGATGTCAATGTGTTTGCCAACAAAACTGCACTTAATCCTCCATGATGTTTTCACAAGATGGAAGAATTCGGAAACAGGGGTCTTCGACCATTGCGCAATCCCTGATCTCATCCTCTCCTCTTTAGCTGACTCCACAAGTTTTCAATTGATTTTAAGGCCACATCTTAGCCAGGGGTTCCCCTAATTATGGAAGGCACCGCACGTCGTTCGCCGGACCTTCTTCTCTTAGGTCTCAAATGTTCACAAGGTTCAAGTCTCTGTCACTCACGGGGTTGCGTTTGGCAATCTCGGTCAGGCCGTCCGTCTCCTGCACTTTGGACTGGAGCCAGTAGAAACGGAAATCGGTCTGCGGAGGAGAGAACGGCGCGGCGGCGTCAAAAAGAGCAAATGGAGAACATCTGCGCTCCAGACTTGCGCTACTTTGAAGCCATTAGGAAGGATAAACATTCCCGGATTTGCCGCGGCGCTTTTCGGGAAGGGTCCGTCTCACCGGGCAGTCGTAGACCGGGTGGCCTCTCCAGCACATGACGTCCAAGATGTAGAAGGTCCGATCCACCTCGCTGTAAATGCAGTCCAGGATGGTGTAATCTAGGCGCACGGCGGCGTTAATGTTTTGTCTTTGCTGCGAATCGCTCGTTTGCAGAAAAGTGGGCCCCGGGGGCCCTGCGGCTACCTTTTCCCATGGCCGAGTTGTGGCGGTTCCCACCGGGCAGCAGGGAGGGGAACCGGTTCACGCAGTAGCCACTTTTTGTGTAGGCCGCAGTCGACCCCTGCAAAACAACAATCGATACAACCAATGATTGTCTCTGCATCTCCTCATTTTCTCGCCGCTGTTCTTTGACGACTCCTCTCCTCTTGTAAACGCTTCACAGCTCTCCATTTGCTTTCTTCCTCGTCTTCACGTCTTGGCCCCCTCATCGTTTTGCTCTTATCAATTTCTCCTCATCTTGGCTCATTTCTTCATCTTGTCATCTCTTCAACCCTAAATTGTCTTCTCGTTTCCTCCAAACACATTCTCAGCTTATTTCCTCACTTCATCTCACCTCCTCGTCTTACTTCCTCATCTCCTTGTGTCCTCTTTACCCTTCCGGGTCTGTAAGGCCCAACACGCACACACACCTGTATGCTTGTTTTTTCAAAGAACTTTCATTACGGGGTACGCTGGGCGTGTGTTTCAGAACGGATCATAATTCGGAGTATTGTCGACAAGCGATTATCTTTGTGTGTGGCCTAAGTTTCTCAGTATCCGTTTCTAGGAAGCCCTTATTACATTTACACACCTTTGCTCAAGCAGACATGGAAATCGCAGACAGTTTGGCTTCGATAAGACTCGCCCAAAGTTTCCTACCTTGGAGGCAATAATGAGGGATCTTTTGCCCACTGGACAGACCACCATCAGCCAATCCGAGTCCAGCTCTGCTGGGACGTCCACCAACCACTCTGACAGCATAAGCTGAGGGGGAACACATAGAAGTCTTTTTCAGAGCTACTTTTTTTTTTGACACAGGCGCCCCCTTCTGGACCATATGGAACACTGTAGCGTAGAAGCTGACATTTTTTTTAACATTTTCTAAAACATTTCCTGGAAATTACAGAATTTATGGATCTGATTGGCTTACATGGCCTTACAGCTTTTTTAAAAGCCCAAATTGAGGACCAAACGAGTTTCCATTACCTCATGCAACACTTACCTGGTTGGCGTAATGCTTTGGTAGCTTTCTTCTCTCAATCTCCATCTCCTCTTCTTCGGCTTTGTCATCTGGCTGCTGTTTCCCCTTCTCCTCTTCGTCCTCCTCCTGCTTGTCCATGTCCTGCTCCCCATCGCCGTCCGCCCCCGCCCAGTCGCCATTGGCCAGACGCCGCACGTGGTCGACGTAGTTTAACCTTTTACTGAGATGGAAAATAAAGGAAAACACCGGTTGAGATGTGAACCGTGTCTGTTCATTTTTGATGGACTCGTACGTCCGGGTGGCAAAAGTGCAAGCAATCTCCAATAGCACAACTTGAATCGACTTTTCTACTGCTCAGATTAATGCCACATACATACTCTTGATGGAGATGCACAGAATTAATCATGATTTTTGTTTTTTTGGGGGGGCGCGAGGGGGTCAGAAAATACCTTGGTTTATCTCTGGCTATGCAGTAGTCGCTCGCTATTCTGCCACACGGAAGTACCCCGGTGTCTATTTTCTCCAAATATTCTGAAAAGGTCTATAGAGCGCCGTACATCTTCTGCAGCTCAAGGAAGCGCCGGCGACGCTCGCTCTGCTCCAGCACGCTGTACTTGCTCTTGTACTGGGACAGCCGAGGGTGCGGCGCGGCCGTACTGTTGGGCTCCTTGGACACAGCAAAGCTGGCCGAGAGGGCTCGGGTCAGGTCATCCATGGGGACTCTGGAGGCGTGGTCAAAACAAAAAACACATAGCAGTGTTGTCACGACTTCTACATTACCTGTTTGCGCTGTTGCAGGAAGCGCTGAGTCAACATGTTGTACGCCAGCCAACCGTCATATGCTGGTTTTCTCCTAACTCTGGTTTCCTCACATATTCCAAAAACATGCATGGCAGATTGATTGGGCACTCCAAATTGTCCCTATGTGTGACGGTGAATGCGAATGGTCGTTCGTCTATGTGTGCCCTGTGATTGTCTGGCAACCAGTTCAGGGTGTCCTCCGCCTACTGCCCGAAAATGGCTGGAATAGGCTCCAGCATGCCCGCAACTTTTGTGAGGGTAAACAGGTTAGAAAAGGGATGGATGGAAGTCATGGATTAAAAAAAAAGAAACATGTTCACAATAGCCCATTAACACAAGCATAGTTTAATAATATATTTTAAACACTTGAGGATTTTTTTAAGCCGACTTATCTGGAATTTTTTTTACGTCTGAATTGGCACCGACGTGTGTGAAGTCAAAACAGGAAACGAGGTGAGAAAGTAAAGAGAGGAAACAAGAAGGCAAATAAGTGAGAAGAGCTGAGCAGATAAAGAATTGAGGAGAGACAGCAAGGAGATGAGAAGACGAAGCGAGGAGGCTAAATAAGGGGAGGAAACAATAAGGTGAAGGGAAGAAATGAAATTACAGGAACGTGAGAGAAGTCAAGGAGATGGGTTTGAAAAAAAAAAACTTTCTCAGTACATCCATCCATCCATTCATGATCTGATCCGCTTATCCTCACGTGGTCGTGACGTAATCACTTCATTCTGTGTATGCCCCGCTAGCTAGCCGGCCGGTTTATGTTAGCAGTGTGGCTAACATATGCTAGCATGCTTTGGAGCCAACCGGTCGTAAGCCACATTGGCCATTCTACATGGTTGTTGTTTCATCTACTAGCTAAACGCCAGTTATTATAAAGTGCATCCCAAGCACCAGCGGTGCAGCTCAGACAGATAAATATGTTTAAAAAATAAACTTACGGTCGACGTGGAGGGAAGCAGCCGATGCCGTGACCTCACATCCGCCTTTCTGGCGAGGAGGAAACTCTTCCGGAGTTTTCGAAGAGCAAATTGTGATCAAATGAAATTGTTGCGTTATCTCATGTCTGAGTCAGTGCTTATCAACTTATGGGGCGTCTTGGCAATCACGAGGACATTTTTAATAGTTTGAGTTGGCATTGGTTTACATTTTATTTTGACATTTTGAATAGTTTTTAATTTTTAACTCAACATGTTACGATCGATCGTTTGATTTTTCTTTAAAGGTTGATTGATTTGCCAATCAACAGGGAAAAGCCGAAAGCCACTTCTTTTAATATCGCATTTGTTTTGAATAGCATCATCATTTTATGATATTATATATATAGCAAATGGACGTCATTTTTTTTGAAAGCTCTGTGTTGTTGCAATGACTTCATGCTTCCACCTAGAGGACGTCATTGAGCCGTCGCAACGCCACTTCTTTCTCAGGGAAAGACTCCTTGAAAGAGAACAGACGATCTCGCCTCCAATTGTCTCAGTCTAACGTCATGGAAAGAGTTACTTCGTATCGGGGCTGTAAGGAAATAGAGCCACAGAAACAATACCGGCTCGCCTAAAGCGGGATGATGCGCTGTTGTGATTTTTAAAAGGATCGAGCGAAGATGCCCAGCAACCTGCTTTCGAGACTCGGGGAGCAAGTTTGTGTCTGAGGGGAAGGAAGGACGGGAATGTGGAGCTGCCGCTTCACCATGTACACGGATACAATCGTTATCAACCAAAGTGCACTTTTTGGAATTATTTGCCTCCGGGACCGTTTCCAGGATCCGTAATGTGACGAAAGTGCGAGAAGTGGGGGGAGAAAAAAAAACGAAAGGTTCCGGTTCACTTTTGGATTATCAAAAGTCTCGTTGCAGGAGCTAGATTGTGAAACCGGTTTTTAAACCGACTCGTTTGTTACACGAAAGTAGAACTCTGGGCATTAACGAGGGCATTTGGGTGCATGCAAATGACTTAGACTAAAGATTGAATGCATCGATGGGCTAGTAATATTCTCAAAAACATTGGGGTGCAGGTCGAGCTTAGTCATTAATAAATCAGGCGTAGTAAACAGTTGTTGACTGACGGTGCTGTCGCACACCTGACCCATGTCATGTGAGATGAGTTGAAATATTCATTAAAGTGTCCTAGATGTTTCCAATACAGCTGCTCAGCACCATGTGCGTGTAGATTGTTTTGGAACTATTGATATTATTGTTTTGTAACCGGCTCTGGATCAGGTCAAGATGTCGGTGAAAGCCAAAGCCTTGTACACCTTTCAAAGTGAAAACAAAGAGGAGATTAGCATCCAGGAGAACGAGGAACTGATCATCTTTGACGAGAACTCGGTGGATGGGTGGTTCCAAGGGGAGAACAGCCGAGGGGAGAGAGGTCTCTTCCCGGCGTCCTACGTGGAAGTCATTCGCACGCGTTCCAACTCCAACGTGACCGACTGCTCCATCAGCCCGGCGGGTTCTTTGGGCAATGACTCCTATTTCCTGCCCTCCACTACGAACACCACCCTCAACACGCAACCGACGTACTACGATATCGACGATGACGACGACTGGGACGACTGGGACGACAGGTCCACCGTGGTGGAGGACGCTGATATCGAGCGCAGCCCCGGGGCCAATGGTCACTCGCATCAGAACCCGCCATCCAACAACCCCAACGTGCACTACAGGGCCAAGCCGCCCATGGAGAGGCAGGACAGCATCTCCAGCGGGAGGAAAGGCAGCATGGTGGGCCGCAATTTGAACCGCTTCTCCAGTTTCGTCCGTTCTGGCGTGGAAGCGTTTGTGCTGGGGGACGTGCCCATGATGGCGAAGATAGCCGAGTCCTACACCATCGAGATGAGCCCCCAGGGGCCCAGATGGAAGGAGAGCCCTCAGCCTTTCTCCTGCTCCATCGAAGACCCCACCAAGCAAACCAAGTTTAAAGGCATCAAGACGTACATTTCGTACCGCGTGACACCGAGCCACACGGGTCGGCCCGTGTACAGGCGCTACAAGCACTTTGACTGGCTCTACAATCGCCTGTTGCACAAGTTCACCGTGATCTCGGTGCCTCACCTGCCGGAGAAGCAGGCCACGGGGCGCTTCGAGGAGGACTTCATCGAGAAGCGCAAGCGGCGGCTGATCCTGTGGATGAACCACATGACCAGCCACCCGGTGTTCTCCCAGTACGAAGGCTTTGAGCACTTCCTGATGTGCGCCGACGACAAGCAATGGAAGCTGGGCAAGAGGCGGGCCGAGAAGGACGAGATGGTCGGGGCGCACTTCATGCTGACCCTTCAGATCCCCAACGAGCACCAGGACCTTCAAGACGTGGAAGAACGCGTTGACACCTTCAAGAACTTTGCCAAGAAGATGGACGACAGCGTCATGCAGCTCACTCACGTCGCCTCGGAGCTGGTTCGCAAGCACTTGGGCGGCTTCAGGAAGGAGTTCCAACGACTGGGCAACTCATTCCAGTCCATCAGCCAGTCGTTCATGCTGGACCCTCCGCACAGCTCCGAGGCCCTCAACAACGCCATATCCCACACTGGCCGCACCTACGAGAACATTGGCGAGCTGTTCGCGGAGCAGCCCAAGTACGACCTCTTCCATATGCTGGACACGCTGTCGCTCTACCAAGGCCTGCTAGCCAACTTCCCAGACATTATTCATCTACAAAAAGGTAATCCAAGTTTGCAACTTCACAATCCATCCTTTGCCTTAAGACGGTTTCACATTGAGGGTCTTGTGGGTGTGATGCGCCTGGCTGTCTAACAATTCTGATGTTCTGGGTGCACCCTCAATGCTTGCACAATCTGGCATTGTACAAGAGTTGAGTTTTCCCTGTTCTATATTTGTATCAATAGTCGTAGTCGTAGTAGATGAGCAGTTTCAACACTCACCCATTCACCTATTAATGCTGTCGGCCCCTAAAATAATGGACGGCGGGCCACAAATGGTCCCCATGCCATATTTTTGGACACCCCTGCTCAACTTTGAACCATAGACGGATATTTGACCACAAACTGTGGAACAACACATGTTGACAGACAATATAACAAATATTGTATGGGATTCTTCTTTGTGTGTGTCTCTGTGTGTGTCGTATACAGCCCCAAATTCTATTTAATAATGTCAGGACTGTATTTTATTTAAGTATACTATATGAGGATTGTTTTTTTCTGGAGGCAAAAAGAGATGAAAGACATTTCCATTGATTTCAGTAGGGAAAGATGATTTGACATGCAAGTGTTTTGCCCGACGGGCACAGTCACAGGACGGCTTGTATATCAAGACACCGTTGGATATTTCAGTTTCCTATTAAGAGACAACCTTGAATTAAAAAAAAAAAAAATAAAAATCCGGTCGTTCCCATTAATTCCTTCAATACGTGTTAGCTCCGATGCAAAGTTTCCAGCTTCAAAAATTCCTGGAATTTTACAACCCTACTCTTTGTGCTTTCCATCTGCTTCTTCTCATCCAACCCTCTGAAATTGGCGCAGGAGCCGGGATGGGATTGCGAGGGCTAATTGCACCGCATTGTTCCAGAGTGACGGCCCGCGTGAGGTTTTTGTTTGTGCAGATGTGATCGCCGCCACCGCCCCGTCGTATCACACTTGCTTCATTGTTGGAGCATCTCGCGCCCTCGAACGCATTGTGACAGTGTGACACTGTGACGCGATCTTGTATCGCGACCGAGATGGTGAATCCTAATGGCCTCTGGGATGAGGCCCGACCATCGAGTTCTGTTTTTGCATCGCCGAGTTCCAATCGGAGACAAAAAGGAACTCTTGAAAGTTTCGATAACACAATACAAAAGAGGATGAAATGGATCCGCCCCCTATCAGGGGGGAATGAGGTGTCCTTGTTATGTAAGAGGCCCTTCCTCGTCTGAATGACAACAGAACCAGATCTCATTAGGAAAAGTACTGACAGTAATGCAAGCGGCACCGCCAGCGCTCACTTTTGGAAACAGATTTTTCCAGTGGGGAAATAATTGCGATTCTAATCAAATTGTCGCCATCATCGATCATGCAGTATCATGTGCATGCGAGGTGCAGTCATGATTTTTGTCCACTGGGGATTACCATCGCCACGTTCAGCTGGGGTATCTGTGACTTTGTGTGTGTGTATGGCTTTAAAAGGTGGAGCCTGGCATGGTGAGTGACATGGGTGTCAGCGGATGAGAGTGTTGTGTTAACTGGCTGACCCGTTAGCCAGAGCCAGCGGGTTGAGTTCATCGGTGCAAGTTGTGTCCATTGGAAGCTCGTCTATGAATGTGCTTAATACGTGTTTGTTGTTTTTTTGTTTTTTTTAACCGTTTGTTTAATTTTATAAACCCATTGAAAGTCCGCGTTCTAACTAGCTATGATAGCCTACATCAAATGAGCTAACATCGATACCTTATGTTGTCGATGGTCGTAGACATGCTGTTATGATGTACACGCCTTCTGCATCATTAGCATCTTTTTAATATGAAATATTCCCAAATTGTATGAATGCGCTTAATACGTGTTTGTTGTTTGTTTGTTTTTTTTAACCGTTTGTTTAATTTTATCAACCCATTGAAAGTCCGCGTTCTAACTAGCTATGATAGCCTACATCAAATTAGCTAACATCGATACCTTATCTTGTCGATGGTCGTAGACATGCTGTTATGTACACATCTTCTGCAGCATTAGCATCTTTTTAATATGAAATATTCCCAAATTGTGGTCATTATCTGTCTTTCATGAAGTCTCCCCCCCCCCTAACATGGTGGCATTGCACGAACTTATTTCTTCACAGAGTCGTGCGTGCGAGGGTGTGCGTCATCAGTAAAATTAGTCCTCGTGGAAAAATGATCCCTTGCGAAGCTGACGGGCAGACATTTTCCTTCAACCTTCTTTATAAATGAATGATTCCAGTTACTCGATTAGCAGTTGCAGCGCTAATCTTTTTCATACCACTTTTTGGCAGTGTATTTGGTTTGGTTACTCACTGCAGGGATCGGGTGCCAATCGAGAGTGGAGTAGGGTTCCAAAATAATTGAGCACTTTTTGGCGCTGAGTTACTAACCAGATTGAAACCACCACTGAGGGTTACGTTTGAGTTCACTTTCACCCCAAATCTCTGCATTTGATTTCACAGTAGATTGATCAATGCAAATACGGACGGACACTGCATGCATCGGGAAGCAAATTCTTGACCCTCGAATCATGTCTGTTGTTTGCAGTAATACAGATGTCCAATATGACTTTGAAGCACTGCTGTTATTAAGACGAAAGGTTCCTAAGGTGTCTAAAAAAGGCTCATGATGGACTTCACGGTCTTAAAGATCAACGGCAGAATCAACCTTACTCACTGGAACGTTGCTCGTTTCTTAACAAAACACAAGACTGCTGAGTGGGCGGCTCCAGCTCACCATCAGTTCCTGTCATGACTGTATCCAAGGCGACCACAGTGTTTCCCTGAACCAAATCTCCACGGAGCAAATATTTGACAGTACAGCGCTCCAGTGGACCAACCCCAAAATGTCCTCTTCCTAATTGTTTTAAGATCCCGCACGCTGGAGTTATTTACAGCGACACCGTATTGTTGCCGTTCAGCTTGGGAAAGACAAAGTCTGAATTGCTTGGCTTCGATTGTTGCTGACAGTGGGATAAAAGCAGTGCTGATGCGCGCCAGAGCTCAGCATTGAAGGTGGCAGAACCCCGTTAGCTCCACGGGCGGGCTTGAAGCATGCCCGCAAGTCCTTTTCATTTGGACTTGGGGAAGTACGCAGTCCTCTCGAAGGCAACGCATTCCAAACCACCTGCATAGCGTGTCCGTTTGATGTGGAAGTTGATCCAACTAACCGGGTGCACGCAGGATTGCGTCTGTCAAGTGAGCAAAACTGAGCCGCTTCTGAGATCAGCAGATGCAAAAAGATCGCAATGGGCGATTTTGCATCTTTAAAATACAGTCGTACCTCTACTTAAGAAATGAATTGGTTAAGAAAGAAATTTCTGAACGAGAAAAGTCGAGACGCGTTTTCCATGTAAATGCCCTAATCCGTTCCAAGCCGCTCCCAAAATTCAGGCATAAATGAATTTGGTGCCGGTCGCTCTCAGAGTAGTTTTTCAGGTGTGCTTTCCTGAAACATTTTGCCCTCAACACGCATCACATGTGAGCGCACATGCAATTGAGCGCTCGCTATGTCTGACGGGGACCAAGCCAAAAGATCCAAAACCAAAAATTGGGATCTCAATAACCCAACTGGGATTTTAGTAACCCAATGTAAGGTCTTATTTAGCCTTACATTGAGTTACTAAAATGAAGTGTTAGGTTTCCTAAAAGTTGGCTTTTCATCACATTTCTTGTAAAAGGAGCGCAGCGCACCAAAATAATAGCGTCTATGATTCCTCTTTTTGGCACCGTAGCAGTATGCCAACAAAAGACTTTTGTTTCGCTCATCAAAAATGACAAGCACCAATAACTCATCTGTGATGTTTCACTTTTCGAGACACTTCCACTGGGTTATGAAGCAGGAGTGTACGGTACATAAAGGTCTCCATTCGGCTGAATTAAAAGTTTAGTGGTGTGTCACATCATCGACCCGTTGGATGACTGTAGCCTTCCCCGTGTCTTTTATTGTTGTGCTTATTTGCGGCGACTTTGGAGAACAAATGTTTTTTTGTTTTTTTTTTTTTGTTCCCCCGCGCTGTTTGCTTACTCCTAAATCTGAGCCCAGGCGAGGCCTTGTCGTCTTCACACGAACTGTCCGTCCACATGCTGCGGCATTCCTGCACATGCTGGCCCACTGCGCTGCTGATTCACACCAACGGAGACCACAGATGTCTCCCAGAACTTTTTGTATCGCACCTCCCTCACCATAACCAAATACCCTTGGGGAACTGAAGTGCAAAAAGCCTTCCATGTGATAAGGAATAAGTTTTTTCAATCGTACTCCGAGACCAGTCTTTGCGCAAACACTCCAAGTAGTTGTGTAATGGTAGGCCGGACCCATTATTAATCAAATAGTGTCTCTATTGTTGGTGTCTGTCATCATTCAGATCCAGTCCACCAGTTATCCCACAAAGCTGTGGTTCCCGCCCCAAAAAACAGACAGAACTTTCATTCGTAAAAATGAAATATAATCGGAAGCCATTCTGTACAGTTTCATTTCCACATTTCTAAGCCTATCAATTTGTCGAGTCATCGGACCAAAATGGGTGCAAGACTTCGTAAATACCAACACCTAAAACAATTGTAGTCCATTTGGCGTCACCTTCCTCACGCCCGACGCTAGCATCTGCGCCTTTTGAGTGCTTGTGCCTTTTAAATGGCAGGACCTGGCCTGGTGAGTGACGTGGGAGTCGGCTGTCGTGAGTTCCGCTTTTTCAGTCTGCGTTTTGAGTTCTGTAAATGTGACTGTCATGGGTTGTTTTTGTTGGCGTTTGTTTCGTCAAGGAATCGGAAGTCCGTCCTTGATCACCTGCGGGCGCTTCACAAATCTGTTCAAACTGGCTAACTCAATGCGCTAACAGGGTTAGCTTATGTTGGCTATCGTCGACATGCTGTGTTGTGTCGTGTTTGACTTTTTTTGTCTTCAGAGCTTGACTAAAATTTGTTGAGCCATGTTTCAATATGATTATGCTTCCAAGGCTACGCAAAGCACCCAATCCATGTTTTCAGGACTCAAAGATTCCGCCAACACCTTCG